AACATTTATGCTGTTTGTTTGATAAAATATCAAAACAATTTTATATTTTTCCGTAATTTACGTTATTGATTAAGTTAAAACATCTTTTTAATTTCAAGTGTAGCTGATAAAATAACGCTTAAATACCATTTTTATACACATAAATCTGTCTTCGCATAAATTTACATGTGTGTTTTTATTTGTAAATAAGACGAGCTGAGTCCATTTCTGCATCCAGTTAAAAACTGATTGAAATACACGAGCAGTAAACTGTGTGTTGAATACAAACATTTTTATTGAAGAAATAAAATATACTGACGTAAAGAAAACAAGTTACTTTTTATAATGTAATGTAAATAATTGGAATACCGAAGAACCTCGATTCTTCCTTTTTAATACAACTACTACACAAGCAAATTGAAGCAGAAACACTTCTCTCAATCAATTCTACTTAATTAAATATCAAGCCTGTTAATTATCATTGTTTTGATGTATTCATTAAGTATATTCTTTTGGAATTTAATTAAACTACAAAAATTATACCATTTTCGAGTCTTTTCTTTACCCGTTTCACACCACCACAAAAGTAGCAGTCTACTGGCTTGAATAAAACTTCATGTATGATTATATTCTTTTGTTCAAAAGTTTTTCGTGTGCTTAAAAATTTGCATCTTAAATGTTACTGATTAGGCTATTTTAATAAAATTATGTATAACACATCTATGTACAGTACTTTTCATTTCACAATAAATTGTACAAATAGATAATAACTCTATACTTTTAGCAATTAAGATTGGATATTTTATGAAGTATTACAACTATTTACGTGGCTAAAATTAATTACATTCGTACATTAATTTTCAAATATTTCTTAAAAGTTCGGTTTATCCTCCATTTAATTTGTGTGGCGAATGAACCGAAGTTAGAATTTTCTAATCTCCAAAGCTTTCTTGAATTCTGAAGAATATTCGATCTAGGAGATACTTGAATGACGTTTTATCCTCCAGTCGACGGCTTAATTATAATATTTATATCGATTTGTATGATGCGTTTTGTTCTAATCCTCGTGTTCGGAGGAAGGAAGAAACGGACGGGTGGATCTAGCGCACGTGATATTGACCCCGTCGCATCTTCGCGTGCAGTAGACGGAAAAATATGGACGACCTTTTATCGCGCTCGCTTTCACCAGCTTTAATGGCCCGGAAAAATAGAGGTCTTTATCTAAGAGAATATCGCGTCGAACAAAGAACCATGCATAAAAAAAAACATTGGAAAATATGACGTTTGGAGAAATAATAAGCGACGATTGTTCTACGTAATGACTCGTTTAAATGTCGTACAGTTTGGGACGTGGGCGACCCAAAAACAATAATCGTATCGAATTCGAAACTTCCATTTACGGCCGACGATAACAATTCGACTCCTTTCAGTCATTAACTTAATGGTCTATTTGGACTATATAATGATGACGTGTATTATTCTATTGTATTTGATATTCTAGAATAATAATTCTGGTCGAAAGATATGCTTTTTCTGAATAGAAACAAGTTTATAGACAATGCTTACGGATCCGGAACTAAATTTTAAAAGATTACGCGTTGTAACGTTAAGAGAAATTAAATATAAAGCGCGATTTTTATCTCTATTCCAAATCAGAATAACCGAAAAAAAGGTAGGACCAGTTCTTAGTTTTTTAAATTAAAATACATTTATGTAGCCGGATGGAAAATTTAGTGATTTAGATTGAACTCCCGTTCTCATAAGTTATTGATAAAAAATAAAATAAATGAACTGCAAATAACCGGAATGACAATTTTAGTATCGGTTTAGACATACAAACCCATCCCCTGACACGCAAATCAGTTTTTGACGCCTGTTTTTGAACTCGGTGGCCTATAAAACTTCAAAAAGTACACGAACCGTACTACATTGCTTATTAAATTTTGCGTGCTTCCTCCAAAATACTTTAAAATTTTCTTATTTTAAAGACGACATATTCAGTTTCGAGGAAGAACAGTTACTCATCAACATAAAAATTTGTTAACAAAAGAAACTGAGGAAATAGAACGAAGAATAATAGTAAGCCAACAATGAATTAGAGTATATTTTACTACGGTATAACGAATGAATGATTTAGAACTATTAGTTATCATTGGGTCGATAACGAATCCCTATTGTTTTCTCTAATAGGATACATAAATTGTAAGAGAGTGCTCTTGCTAGACTAAGGATTCGAGCAGTGTTCGGTTAATCTTCAAAATTAAAAAGAGAACACCGAAAAGATGTAGCAAGCAAGCATCTGTTTGAAAACTTGAGAAACACGAGGCTGTGTACGGGTTCTTATTGTCTATGGAGCGGCGAAACAATCAATTGTGTCGAATCGACGAACCTCTAGATGGCGCCACTAGAAGAGAGAACCGTACGTGTGGATTGTGACCTCGTGCCAAGTGCGGCGTGACTGGTATGTCTCTCCCCTTGTCCCGTATCCTAGCAACGGCATACCGCCGAATGAATCACGTGCTGTGACGCTATGGAGTGAATGACAGATGCATGGATCGGGCGTCGTTGGGTCACACTTTTTTCCCACCATTCACCGACTGTTGCTGGCTATTAATCTTAACCGAACCAGTTTGAAGTAAAAAATAAATACGCCGTACGTTTTGAAACGTAATGACAATGCACGAAAATTACTATAATTTTATCGATATCGATAATTTTCGCTCGACTTTTAAAATTTAAAAAGTGCTCCCTTCTTAACAAGAAATTGTTATTATTCCACTTAAAAGAAAAAAAAAATGTATATATTCTAATTTATTTTATAAAATATATTCCTTACGGATAAACATTAACCAAAACTAGGTAAATATTTTCCAAGTTGTTACGCGTTACTCTGTTACTTTAAATTCGAATCTTCCATTCTGCTTCGAGATTCGCTTTTATGAGGGCAAACTCTTCTCCGCTGTTTAGAAATGGTCGTAAATTGAAATATTCCAACGACAATTGGCGGTTTTATAGCTGTTTGTGCAAAAATTTCGCAAATAGGAAGCAAATTTTCACTCGACTTCCTCTCTGTGAAACCAGTCGTCGCTCATCCCCATTCGAGATAATGGATTTGTCCGGAGGAAGTGTTAGGTGTGTACATAGCTTTCGAAACTTTCCAGGGTAGAACCATTATCCTAACATCTCGAGAGACGGTCGGTGGTCCGAACGACTCAAATTAAGAACTAAATAAATGAATAATGCAGTTAACGCGCTTTTTATTTCATTAGACGTTGTTTGATTTTTATTTCTATGGTCAATTCTCTATTTAAAAATCTAATTACTCCTGATTATTTGCTAAATTTTTTTAACTAGGATTTTTCGTAACAATATCGAAATTTATTTTATTTTCCTACAGTAACCAATTAAATTAACAATATTAAATTCCAGCCATAATTCGATTGTAATATTTTGCGAATCTGCTAATTCTGTGCATTATTTAGAAAGTCTCCTCATGTTTGTATGTGTTTTTTGTTTTATACTTTTAAATTATTTCTGGATTTTCAATCGATATTCATTACATTCTGTAAAAGTAAAAATAATTTCGCCTTTTAGATAATGTAATTTTCCACTAAGACATTCCTTATGCGATGTTACGCATATTTTACATTTTTTGGTTACGTTCGAAGTGTAAATATTTTATAACGTTTATTATTTTTAATTTACATTTATCGCGTGCATATAAAAACGTATTCTTTTTTTAACTCTTTCTATCTTGCGGTACTAAGCGCTCTTTTTTCTTTTTCTTTTTTTTTTTACCTGTCCGTCGAGGATATTGGGCAGGCCCACAATGGAGGCGGCCGGGAGGCGAGGGAGGGAGCCCGACGTATCCGGGTCGAACACCCTTGCCAATTTCAAGAGGTTCCGACCCGCACTCGAATCCGGGTCCTTCCGTAATAGTCTGACGCCATTTACCTCCTAGAACATCGAATCGTCGAAAAATAAAAATAAAAAATTGAAAAAGTATTGATTCAGTTTTTTGACTAATAATTTTATATTGGGTAAAATTCTTTAACTTAATTCAGGAAATTACATCTGGTTAAACAAATATTAGATTTGTGAAATTAAAAATAAATTTTATAATAAAACAACTATTTTATTCGATGAATTTTGCGAAAATTTTGCTCTGGAAGCAATAGAACTTCAATGACTTTTTAAAAATTGTTCAAGTATATCATTCGAAAAGCAATTTTATATCTTCGGAAAATCTTCCATTTTCTGTCCATTCGAAAACCAATCTTCATTATTTTTTCATAAATTCCTTTTGAATTTTAGAATTTTCCTGTATATTGAGTTTTATAATATATTATATAAGGTTAATATAAACATCTAAATTATATAATAACTCATTTCAATACAAAAAAGACCGGAAAAGACGTGCTCTCAGTTAGAAAATGCTAAGAATTTACACGGTTTGTCTATCGAGACTTTTGCAAAGATGTTATGAGTTATCGATTTTTTTTTATTACTAAACACGGTACTAAAAATTTAATTTGCTACCTTTAAATTCGTCGAACTAAACTAGTTAAAACGAAGCTGTTTTGTAATTATAGTTTGAAATTAGGTTTACACGTGATAGAGTTCGTAATGTGTAAATTTAATTATAAACGAATATTGAATTTCCAAAATTGAAGTGCGAAAGGAAAACTGGAATTGATGAACTGTAATTAATTGCCGCATTTTTGTCAATCGTGTGAAAATAACGCGTTATTTTAACGTTATTACATTAGTAAGAAGAACCTTCTGGTTTATAGGCCTACTATATCGGTTGTTATTTGCATTGCGTCCCTTTTGTAGTAATAACAAACCAAAGATGAATACTACAAACCTAAAAGTATGCGAACATCAATGCTTAGAAGAGTGTGATCCGTACTAATAAACTATATTTGTAATTATTATTTCTAAAATATAACTAATTATCTACTCTACAACTATTATAATTAGTTAATTATTAATTAGAAATATAAATTTTCTAATTACAGTCCTAAACGGGACAAGAAGTTTCCGAAATTTTATGCGAATCACTAACAAAGTTGAAGGAAAAGTTGTTATTAGACTATATTTGTCCAAGAGAATTACTTATTAAAAGAAAGAAAAGTAAGTAAAAAATTTTTTTAATTTATGGATTAAATTAATGAATAAGGACTCTTTTTTTTTATTTTAAAGAGAGTTAAACTTAAAAAGTTGGTCGTATCGCGCAAGTTTACTTTCCAGATGTTTTTGTTCCCAACGCATAAAAACATCAGAGTGGAGACCGGATGGTGATGAAACAGATAGGTCTATAATGACGATTTCCAAGATAACTTACGCATTTCGAGAATTCTTTCATAAAAATAAAACACGAATTGTAATTTCTAGTCTTTCAAATGGTGAAAACTTTCCAATTTCTTAAAAGCATCAGGAAAAATTACATTAACTTAAATGCTCTTTTATGTTATAAATTTCTTTTGTATTGTTTAGATTGCTGTTTTATCAATTATAATAATAGATACATTCTTGTACAGTAGTTAAATAAACTATTACTAATTAAAAACTTATTATAATAGGCCCTACTGATCTAGTTTATTTAACTATATGAATTATTTTATTCTAAAAATATTTAAGGGTATAAAGTCAAGTAGATCTATAGACACAAACCAAAAAAAAGAGGAGAAATTTTTCGTTTGTAAACCTTTTGAATCGGAGGTATCGTCTTTAATTAAAAATTTCTAACCTAATATTAAATATATTTATGATTCAAAATGATAATAAATTCGTATTAATATCAATAATCGAGCGTCTTTAGATGTAACCTGTAATATAGGACTAAATTTAAATTTTTTACATCTCGTTAAGATCCATTAAAATTCTTCACAATTGAAACTGCGAGTATCGTAATCGGAATGAATCTTACATGTTGTTAATCATAATGTTGACTGAACCTCTATCAATTTATAATTAACATTTTGATTGGGACCTGTTATCATTGCTGTCCGGTTTTATCTTCGCTTCACATCTTATCATTTGAATAGGTTAATATGCTTATTGAGAATATAATTGTTAAGAAGTTACATACAAAATCCTTTTTTCTTTTTCTTTGTTGTTTTCTTTACATAAAAAGTTCGATAACTGTTCATATATGAATATGGATTAGCCTATATGATTTGTCAAAAATATAACATATTCAACATTAATTTTTGTATAGTTCTAATCAAATAGGGAAGAATAAGCGTGACGGAAATACGGATGAGTAGTGGACCTATGTGTGATGCATTAGTCTAACTAAATAGGATAAAATGGTGACAATTTATTTTCACTCAAAATATTTTAAATGTATAAGTATCGATTGAAGAAAGACAAGAACAGAGTTTCACGCGGGCTCCAAATATGTATAGGGTTTTTTTCTATTAATGATAGTTTGATCGCGCACCCATTCGTTCCGGACCCTGGAGCAAATATCCCAAATGTCCCCCTTATTTATGACCTCTACTTATAGGTTTGCCTATAGGTCTAGCTACTTTTTTGACTATTTTTTTTTCAATAATTGAGAAATTTTAAACTAAATAACGAGTAGACTAACGAAATAAGTAATCCTTACGATAGATTTATCAACCTATCGCTTATAATTTTTTAATAACTTGATAGTAGTAACCTAGTAATGTAGCTGTTTCGACGACCTACTTAAGTTTGTCTTTGCCTAAATGTTTGAGAGAAATCTTTCATAGACTATTCTAATTACTCTCCTCTATTGTACTCTAGTCTTGCGGATTTTAATAAATAAAACATTTTAAAAATATATTACAAAGAGTAAAAGCTAAAATAAAGAAGCCAATTTTAATTTATCTTATGTATTTATGCAAATTACATAATATCAATTAAGCTCAATCTAAGAAAAAGCTTAGGCCCTACATCAACGGTTTATTTCAAAATGTAAATCAAGAATTTTTAATTAATAATGTGATAATTATTAAATTGGAAAGAAGGAAGAGAAATTAAATATTAATAAAATAAATTATTTTATTAAAAAATATTAAGTGCTTCAAGGTTAATTTCAAAGCAATTTATGGCTTCGACGTTTCCAAAAATATCTTTATTCTCGTCTGACGATTTCTTAGAAGGCGATCGATTTTGTGTACGAGTGCATTCGCCTGTCGTTACTAGCATCCCGCTGCTCGTTTTCTTTTCATTTAAGAAGAAGAAGGAGAAAAAAACGAAATAATAAATTAATAATGAACTCGAAAGATCATTAACGACAAGACTCGCGCAAATAATAATCCCTATTTTTGTATAACAATAGTCCTTAACCTGTTTTCCCTATTGCTTATAATCGCATTCGCTCGTCATCTCTTTAATTAGATTGTCGTCAATCCGATAAAATACAAACAATTCGACACGAGAAAATGGATTTAGCATTTCCAGACGTATGTGCTCCATCTCTGCATTGATTGAAGAGTCAATACCCGAAGAGCCAATCAGCGTGCTTACTCGAAAAGAGAAATCCAGTAAGAACTTTGGACTGATACAAATAGATCACGTGCAATTTAGGATATGTAAGCAAAATGATATTTATCGCAAATAAAAATCTTCCAAGTGAAAGTATATTTCCGTCGGGTATCGCGGAACCAGGAACTAAATTTAGAAACATTTTTATTGCAAATAAAACAAATTTCCAGTATAAAAAAAAAAATATTCGAATGAAAACGTATCGTCCTTTGGCGATTTTATTTCAACTATTTTATTATTAATGTACTTGCATCTCATTGTTTCAATGTATTATAATACGGTACTGTATAGTTAGGCCTATTGATAATTAACTAATATAAGTTACAACCGAACACGAACAGAATTACGTAGGAAGAACGGTAGAGTAAACATCTGGTTTTCGTCCATAAGATAATTTTGGATAGTAACCAAGTAAGGATAAATCTGTCAACGCCCTTCAACACGTAGGTACTTTTTACTCCAGACCTTCGGCTTTTAGTCAATTGGTCCGGAAGTCACGTCTCTCGGCTTAGATGTCGGGTCGTGGCCACAGTTGAACTAGCCTATTACCGAATTTGACGTCTGGTACCGCCGTCGACGCTTCTTTGTGTAGAAAACGTCGGTTACTCGAAACCTTTCTTCTTCCCACCTTCGTTAACTAGAAGAAATCCTTTCTTGCCCATAAAAAAAATGGACTNTCAACTAACATGTTATAGATGACACCGTTATTACAGATCCTTTCAGATAGTTACGGAAATGTTTGCCAAGAACAAAGTCCCCCCAAACGATAAATATTTCGTTAATCGGTAACGGGAGATTTTCCGTGGATCCGATTACAAAATGAGTTGGCCGAATTTGTATAGACGTTTTCTTTTTCTTTTTTAATTTGAATTTATTAATGTTTAAATCAAATAACGTAGGTATAACATACAACATTTATGCTGTTTGTTTGATAAAATATCAAAACAATTTTATATTTTTCCGTAATTTACGTTATTGATTAAGTTAAAACATCTTTTTAATTTCAAGTGTAGCTGATAAAATAACGCTTAAATACCATTTTTATACACATAAATCTGTCTTCGCATAAATTTACATGTGTGTTTTTATTTGTAAATAAGACGAGCTGAGTCCATTTCTGCATCCAGTTAAAAACTGATTGAAATACACGAGCAGTAAACTGTGTGTTGAATACAAACATTTTTATTGAAGAAATAAAATATACTGACGTAAAGAAAACAAGTTACTTTTTATAATGTAATGTAAATAATTGGAATACCGAAGAACCTCGATTCTTCCTTTTTAATACAACTACTACACAAGCAAATTGAAGCAGAAACACTTCTCTCAATCAATTCTACTTAATTAAATATCAAGCCTGTTAATTATCATTGTTTTGATGTATTCATTAAGTATATTCTTTTGGAATTTAATTAAACTACAAAAATTATACCATTTTCGAGTCTTTTCTTTACCCGTTTCACACCACCACAAAAGTAGCAGTCTACTGGCTTGAATAAAACTTCATGTATGATTATATTGTTTTGTTCAAAAGTTTTTTGTGTGCTTAAAAATTTGCATCTTAAATGTTACTGATTAGGCTATTTTAATAAAATTATGTATAACACATCTATGTACAGTACTTTTCATTTCACAATAAATTGTACAAATAGATAATAACTCTATACTTTTAGCAATTAAGATTGGATATTTTATGAAGTATTACAACTATTTACGTGGCTAAAATTAATTACATTCGTACATTAATTTTCAAATATTTCTTAAAAGTTCGGTTTATCCTCCATTTAATTTGTGTGGCGAATGAACCGAAGTTAGAATTTTCTAATCTCCAAAGCTTTCTTGAATTCTGAAGAATATTCGATCTAGGAGATACTTGAATGACGTTTTATCCTCCAGTCGACGGCTTAATTATAATATTTATATCGATTTGTATGATGCGTTTTGTTCTAATCCTCGTGTTCGGAGGAAGGAAGAAACGGACGGGTGGATCTAGCGCACGTGATATTGACCCCGTCGCATCTTCGCGTGCAGTAGACGGAAAAATATGGACGACCTTTTATCGCGCTCGCTTTCACCAGCTTTAATGGCCCGGAAAAATAGAGGTCTTTATCTAAGAGAATATCGCGTCGAACAAAGAACCATGCATAAAAAAAAACATTGGAAAATATGACGTTTGGAGAAATAATAAGCGACGATTGTTCTACGTAATGACTCGTTTAAATGTCGTACAGTTTGGGACGTGGGCGACCCAAAAACAATAATCGTATCGAATTCGAAACTTCCATTTACGGCCGACGATAACAATTCGACTCCTTTCAGTCATTAACTTAATGGTCTATTTGGACTATATAATGATGACGTGTATTATTCTATTGTATTTGATATTCTAGAATAATAATTCTGGTCGAAAGATATGCTTTTTCTGAATAGAAACAAGTTTATAGACAATGCTTACGGATCCGGAACTAAATTTTAAAAGATTACGCGTTGTAACGTTAAGAGAAATTAAATATAAAGCGCGATTTTTATCTCTATTCCAAATCAGAATAACCGAAAAAAAGGTAGGACCAGTTCTTAGTTTTTTAAATTAAAATACATTTATGTAGCCGGATGGAAAATTTAGTGATTTAGATTGAACTCCCGTTCTCATAAGTTATTGATAAAAAATAAAATAAATGAACTGCAAATAACCGGAATGACAATTTTAGTATCGGTTTAGACATACAAACCCATCCCCTGACACGCAAATCAGTTTTTGACGCCTGTTTTTGAACTCGGTGGCCTATAAAACTTCAAAAAGTACACGAACCGTACATTGCTTATTAAATTTTGCGTGCTTCCTCCAAAATACTTTAAAATTTTCTTATTTTAAAGACGACATATTCAGTTTCGAGGAAGAACAGTTACTCA